TACTTTAGACATTGTTACTTTAGTAGTGGCCTGTTTGGGCACTACTTCATACATTGTTACTTTAGTAGTGGCCTGTTTGGGCACTACTTCATACATTGTTACTTTAGTAGTGGCCTGTTTGGGCACTAATTCATACATTGTTACCAGAAGATGAGCATGCTACCACTATATTTTTAGTTGTGAAAACCGAAAGAAAAGAACAGAATATTCACTTTAATTTTTTGAATAAATAAAAGATAAAAAGAAAAACAACAACAACAAAAGGATAAACATAGGACAAATAAGATAAAAACTGAATGAAATGTTAAGTGAATATGCACTTACCCAAAGGTCATGTTCAGCATAATCAAACAATAACCATACTTTACGATCTACATGAGACAAAAACACACCCTGGAGGTGGATGACGTTCGAATGTTTTAGTTCTCTTAATAGCTGTAAATATAAATCAAACACATAAGTGCACATAAATGTTTACCAAAAATTCAGAAGTAACTACAATGAGTCTTAATCTGATAGACGAAACACACAAAAAGTTCACCAGTCAATTTCACTGAACCATGATACTATACATATTATCAATTTTCTCACTGTATCATCACAAAATTAGAAAAAAAATTCTTTTAATCAAAAATTCCAAGTTTGTTTGACACAAAAAACAGATTTTTAAGTAAATAATTTTTACTAAAGATTTTTTTATAAGCTTATAAAATCTTTACTGAATCAGTCTGAGTGTAACATCATTTTCATCTTACAGTTTATACAGAACCTCCTAAATAAATATCAAGATTTCTTTTTGGTAAATCTTTACAATTTATCTGATATTTTCCCTAATCTAAACTAACTATTGCAAAACTAATGTACAATGAAATGTAAAGTTGAAAAATATGAAAAAAAAAATCTATAAACACCTTTAATTTTTAAAAGGACTGCAGATTGTCACAAATAATTACTGTCTCAGGAGGTGAAACCCAATATTTCACAATAGGACTGCTTTGTGTAAACATAAGGATGAAGTTAACCTCAAACTGCATAATTTACTGGAATTAGTGAATTGTTTTCATAAGTTTTGTTATCTAACTTATAAGCTTTTACTTGATTTTGTTCAAAAATCTAACTGGTTTTAAACCTAAGTTTAATATAAAAAACACTCTGGAGCTTGTAGAAAAAATCAAAATCATACAGATATCAAATAACACCGGAATTGTTTCCTTTGTTGTTTGTAGTCTTTTTCACCAGTATACCTGTTAACGATTGCAAACAAATTGTTAGTGATGCAATGGATTTAGAAAAAGGAAACCGTTTTGAAGCCCAGGATTTAAAAACAATAATAACCACTTGTCTAGATCAGAACTACTTCAAATTTAATGACCAAATATACAAGCAGAATAATGAGTTAGCTATAAGTCCCCTCTCTCTCTCTCTCCTTTGCTTGCAAAAGTTTTCATGGATAATTTAGAGAAGAAATTGTTTAGTGATGAAATAATACAAACATTTCAAATATTGGTACAGATATATTGATGATGTGATTTGATTTTGGACAGGCTCTAAATGTCAACTTCATAATTTTGCAACTCTACAGAATTTGGTAAAAATGGAAGCATTAATTTTTTGGACTTAAAACATTAACATAGATAACAGTAAACATTCCTTTAAAATCTTTAGAAAACCTATTTATAGTGACAACGTCATACGTGCTTCTTCAAAATATCCAATATCTCACAAACTTGATGTGTTCCATAGTTTGTTACACTGTACCCTTGTCATCTGAAGATTATGAAACTGGAATAAAAACTATAAAACAAATTGCTTTCAACAATGGATATACAACAAAGTTCACTGGCTCTTTGTTGTTTAAAAACTAAAAGCCAAAAACTTAAAATTAATATACCCACATACTGTACCAAAGAAAAACAAAAGAAATGACTTAAGATAAGCTACATTGGAAAACCTTCTCACAAAATATATAACACACTGAACAAAGAAATCTAAAGGGCAGCCTTCTACTGTAGAAACATTCTAAGCAAAAAGCTGTTCAAAAACAAAATTGAAAAGTACAATGATGTTTACTAATTATTGTGTCAAGACTGCAATAGTGTATCAATAGGTCAAATAGTATGTTCCATATACACAAGAATTAAAAAACACTAGAAACTGGAAATTAAGGAAAATAGATTCAACCCACCTTATTGAAACTAAACACCAATTTGACCCAAAAAAACTGAGAAATTTTACATATCCATGAAAAAGGTAAAAAAACTAGACAGTCTGGAAATTTCATAAATAAATAGATTTCTACAAACAAATCGAGAAAAAGTTCTAAATGACCAAACCAACTTCAGCTCCTCCCCACTTGTCTCTAGGTGAATGTCAAGGTCTCTTCCATTTCTTTGTTTAAACATATATATATATAAAAACCTGTTGCAAACCATTTCAGTCTGCACTTGATGATGTCTTTACTTGCAAAACCAAGGTCATTAATTGATGAAGTTTTTGTGACATGTAAAATTGTATGCTTTTTTCCCTCAGTTCTGTATTTATGGAGTTTCACCAAGTACTGACAGTTTCATTATATAAAACAAGCTGGTATAACAAGATAAACAGTCTTATATATAAGTGAAACAGTGCTTAGAAACTCAACACCTTTTGATACACCCCAAAATACATTTCACTGAAGACCAAAAACACTTCAAGTTAAGCCCTGGAGTCAACCCTGGTTAAATTCTTACAGAAGATATAGAGGTAGCACTTAATCTGATTCTGTAACAAAGAATGTTAATATGCTTTAAAATTATTCAAACTTTTTCCAAGAAATATGCAGAGGTGAGGAGTCCAAAGTTTTTTTTTTGTTTTGAATTTCG